CCACGAGCCGCTTCCACGCAGCCTCTGGGCTCGCTGTCTTGAAGCAGAAGTTCTTGCCCTTCGACTTGTCTGGCGCAACCCCACCGTTAGCTTTCACGATCCTGTAGACACAGTTCAAGAGCTCAACATGGACAACGGCCCCAGGATCATTATAAATTGTATAATTCTTCACACCTTTCGGCGTGCCATTCGGCCAACTCTCACGAGGGATCTTCAGCTTCTTCAGATCGTATTCGCCAACTTTCTGCACTTTCGGGAGCGCTGGTTTCTCGGGCGTGTCCACCTTGGCCAGCTTTGCTTTCTTAGTAGTTTTCTTTTCATGGGCGGTTTTGCTTTCTTCATTGGTTTGAGGGCATACGTCAACGTCGGGGGATTGCCTATAGCGGCCAGGGTCTCGTCTGCGAATGTCGGCTTCTTGGGCACTGGGGTGCGGAAGGACTCGTCGGGCTTCGTGGGGGCCTCGCCGTCATCATCGGAGTCGCCTCCAATCAAAGATTCTTCCTCGGCCTCCTCTGCTTCTGACTCGCTGTTATTCTCGTCTACTGGCATGTCGTCGTCGGAGCTGGAGGTGTCGTCGTCGTCGTCGGAGCTAGAGGTGGAGCTCTCGTCGTCCGAGGTGCTGGCGCCATCGCCAGAGGTGCTCGAGCCCCCCTGATCTTTGGACAAGGCCTTCGGGCACCCACCAGCGCGCCCCCCCCCCCCCCCCCCCCCCCCCACACACACACAACCCACACACACACACACACAACACACACACACAGGGGCGACGGGGCAGGGGTAGAGGGGGAGGAGAGGAGGGGGGGAGGAGGAGGAGGAGGAGGAAGGTGGAGAAGGAAGAAAGGAGGGAGGAGAGGAGGGGGGAGGGAGAGGAGGAGGGGAGGACACGGAGAAGGAGAGGAAGAAGATGATGAGGATGAGGGAGGGGGGGGGAGTACAAGGAGCAGGCGAGGGAAAGGAGGGGGAGGGGAGGAGGGGGAGGAGGTCGAGAAGAGGAGGAAAAGGAGGAGGGAGAAGAGGAGGGACAGGAAGGAGGAGGAGAAGGAGGAGAGGGAGGGATGCACAAAAAACGAGGATCAGAAGGGAAGCCAATGGCTCCCCCTCCCTCCCTCCCCCTCCCTCCGCTCCCTCCTCCTCCTCCTATTCTCCACCTTCCCCCTCCTCCTCCTTTTCCCCTTTCTCCTCCTCCCCCTCCTCCTCCTTCTCCCCGTCCCTCTTCCCCTCCCCCACCTCCTCTTCCTCCTCCTCCTCCTCCTCCTCCTCCTTATCCTCCTCCTCCTCCTGGTCATCGTCGTCCTCCTGCCTCTCATCCTCTACCTGCACTTCCTCCTCCTCCTTCTCCTCCTCCTCCTCTTGCTTCTCTTCCTCCTCCCCCTCCTCATTCTCCCTTTCCTCCTCTTCCGCCTCTTCCTCCACCTCCTTGCCACCCTTCCCCCCCGTGCACCTCTCTTCTCCCCTTCCAGCTCCCTTCGCCCTAGAGGGGGGCACGCTGGCGCGCCTGGCGGGGCGACGGCACATCCCCAAGAAGTGCTTTCATCTTGTCGATGATCGGGCGGCCCTTCCCAACAAGACTATTGTGGCGCAACTTCCGCAAGAATGAAATACATCTCTTTATTTTCAGGCCCTCTGCGAGGGCCTTGCAGTGCTTCTCTTTGGCGTCCTCAGCTACAAGGAAATTGGATCCCATCAAACGGTCCATTCGCACGAAGATGTCAGCCAAGAAATACCCGCTCCCGATATACATTGATTTGGACATCAGCATCGGCACTATGAAAATCGAACTCTTCACCAACTCATGCTGTTTAGGAAAGGCGCCACTGTCGAAACTTACGATTCTCCGCAACTTTGTTCTCCCACTAGTAATGGCTGCCACCTTTTTCTTCTCCATGTGATCAATCACTAGCTGAGCCGTCTCGTTTATCTCCTGAAATGACCATTTCACTTTGCGCCCCGCTGTGGATTTCCACGACTTCTCGTTGTCGTCGTCGAGCCCCTGCAACTGATCGCCCATGCCCTGAAGCTCGCTCGCCATCGTGCTCGGCGACCGCGTGGTCGCGAGAGGGGGAGACGGTGCGCCAGGTTGGATCGGGGTTGAGGGCCCCCTCCGGGAAGACAGGAGTAGGGAGGTGGACCAGGACGAGGAGAAAAAGTAGGAGGTCCGACGGGTAAAATCTTTCAGAGGGGACGGGGGCAAAGGCAGAAGAACATGAGGAGGATGAGGAGCAGGAGGAGGAGGAGGAGGAGGAGGAGGAGGAGGAGGAGCAGGAGGAGCAGGAGGAGCAGGATGAGGAGGAGGAGGAGCAGGACGGGAGCAATGCCATGGCCTATGACCGCCCCCCTTTCCCTTTCCCGGGGTCCGACAAGTTGTTCGAGCTGCACCCTGCCGCGGCGACGAGACCACGAGGGGGAGGGGGAGGGGCTGCAGGAACTCGACCGATCCATCCCCTCCTGGCGCACCGACTGCCCCAAGGCAGCTGGAGCCCGAGCGCGCGGCGCCTCTCAAGCCAAACGGCTGAGACTCGGGCTGGGGGTTCAGGGGAGGTTCGGCCTTTGCTCAGGATGGGGCTTGGCTCAGGGGAGACTCGAGCTCGAACTCGAACTCGGACTTCACCTCATATTCGATTCGGACCTGCGGATTCTGGGGGCGTGAACTTCGGGGACATCGGGCTCGGACTTCGGAACTTCGGGCTCGGTTTTCAGGGATTTGGAAACTTCGGGCTCGGACTTCGGGGGCTCGCGAATTTCGGGCTACGGACCTCAGGGGCAATTTCGAATTCTCGTGGTTCCCATCGCTGCCGTCACACGCAAGTGTAGGAGGATGAACCTAGGTTAAGAAGGAGGAGGAGAAAGAGGAGGAGGAGGATGAGGATGAAGAGGATGAGGAGGAGGAATAGGAAGAGCTAGGATGAGGAGGAGGAGGAGGGGGAGGAAGATGGCCTCGTGATCTCGCCTGGAATCGTCGGCCCTCGGACCATTGGCTCCTGCCTTGGATCTCGGCCCTCGGACCCACCCCTGGATCTAACCTATAGTTGTTCGAGCTGCACCCTGCCGTGGCGACGAGAACCCCACCTTGCTGCAATCAAGATCACTGCAATAATGACGGACGGTAAAGACGCAAGACCTTCGCAGCCCCAATGGTGTTTTGAGAGATTGGCCAGCGAGCCACCGACTGGCAAGGATGCAAGGGGTTCATCGGGGACGTTACTCGTCCTTACAACTATCAACTGCTTGTTCCTCTTCGTTCCTCTGATCTCTCCTCCTCTTCCTCCTCGTGCTCCCGCTCCTCCTCCTGCTCCTTCTCCTCCTCCTCCCCTCCCCCTCCCCCTTCCCCTTCCCCCCCAGCTCCTGCTACCTCTTCCTCTCCTCCTCCTCCTCCTCCTCCTCCTCCTCCTCCTCCTCCTCCTCCTCATGATCATCATCATCGTCACCATCATCATCCTCATTCTCTTTCTGGTCGACCTCCTCGTCCCCCTTCTCCTCCTCCTTTTTAAGTTTCCCCCTGCCGCTGCTGTTGCTGCTGCTGCTGCTCCTCCCCCCCTGCAATTGCGGCGCGCCATGCCATGCGGCGGCCTGCGTGGCCTATCGCGGACGGCCCCTCTCTCTATCTCTCCCTCTCTCTCTCTCACTCGTTCTCCTTCGCCCTCCTTCTCTTCCTCCCACTCTCCCTCCCACCCCTCTCTCCTTTCCTCTCTCTCTCTCTCTCTCTCTCTATCTCCCCCTCCCTCTCTCGCCTTCCCTTTCTTTCTTTCTCTCTCTCTCTCTCTCTCTCTCTCTCTCTCTCTCTCTTCCCCCATCCCTCTCCTTTTTCCTCCCTCGCTCCCTCAATCTCTCTATCTCTCTCTCTCTCTCTCTCTCCCTCTCTCTCTCTCCCTCTCTCTCTCGCTCCCTGCCTCCATCACCCCCTTCCTCCCCTGCTCTCTCTCTCTCTCTCTCTCTCTCTCTCTCTCTCTCTCTCTCTCTCTCTCTCTCTCTCTCTCTCTCTCTCTCTCCCCGATCTCTAGACCTTGAGGCTGCCCGATCGCTGAACTCTGAGGCTTCCTACCTCCCTCCCTCGCTCCCCGATCGCTCTCTCCCTCCCCGATCGCTCCCTCACTCCCCTCCCTCCCTCCGAATGGGTGGCCCGATGACGCCGGGGGCATCCCGCCCGCGTCCACGCGCGGGCCCGTCCCGCGGCGGGTTTGAGCCACGGTGGACGGGGGGGTGGAGGCAGGAGGACCACAGCAAACACGAGGCGGACAAGGACGAGGAGGAGAAGGAGAAGAGCACGGAAGGTGAGACGAGCAAATTGGAGGAGGCGGCAGGAGAGGAGAGGATGAGGGCGAATGAGCAAAACAGAGCGAGACAATGAGGATTGGAGGAAGAAGCACAGGGGGAGCGAAGGCCGTCTACCCTCGAGGGGCGCCATCCCTGGCGGAGCCGTGAAGCACCCGACGACAGCTGAGGAGGAAGAGGAGGATCAGGAAGAGGAGGGAGAGGAGGAGGAGGAGGATGAGGAGGAGGAGAAGGAGGACGGGGATGAAAAAGGGAGGAGGAGGAGGAGGCGGAGGAAGAGGAGGCGGAGGAAGAGGAGGAATAGGAGGATGGGGGAGGGAGAGGAAGCTTCACGAAGAAGAGGTCAAGGGGAGGAGAGAAAGGAGGAAAAGGAGGAGGGGGAGGGGGAGGGGGAGGAGGAGGAGGAGGAGGAGGAGGAGGAGGAGGACAGTGGGCCCTGGGGGTCTGTTGGGTTGCGGTGGTGGGCGCGCGGGTCGGTCATGCGATGTTGGTCTCGCGGTGGTTGCGAATGGTGTTGTGTTGTTGGTGGTGGTGGCGGATGGAGTGGGTGCGCGATCGCGGGCATTGGGCGGTTGCGGGGGGTGGCAGGGCTGTTGTTGTGAGCTCGCGTCGCCGCACCACCGCCACGCTGAACATGCGTGTATATATATACCATGCATGCTGCAGTTTTTCACCTTCACAATTGCAGCGACATAGAGAGCATTATTTGACTTATGACATGTGTTATTAAATCAGGTTGCTTTTTTAAGCCTGATGACCCTCCTGGCGATCTGCGCCTTGCTCGAGGTCGCGCCGTGCATGCTCGCCGTCGACCTCTCGACAGGCACGCGCTCCTCCGCGAGCCACGCGGCCGCCGTGAAGATGGGCGCGCGACCTCCACGCCTGCTGCACCCGTAGCGTTTGCCATCCACGTCGTGCGTGATCACGTGCTTCGTCTCCGCGAGCAGCTTCTCTCGCCGCCTCTTCTGGATGTTGGCCTCTCTCCGCTCTTTCTGCGACGGCTTCGCCGACGGCTCCACCTCGATCGCGGCCTTGAGCGTCGCCAGCCCGCGGGGCCGCACAAGGGTGGCGATCCTCTCGGCGAATCCCAGCGCGCGCGCCTGCGCCCTGGGCACCTGCGCCCGCTTGATGATGCCGTCGGCGAAATCGCCGGCCAAGACGTTGCCGATGTAGTCGATGGGGTCCACGCCCGCGTCGACCACATCCTTCGCGCTCATGTGGCTCTCGATCTTCACGAGGTCGAGCTCCTTCCCCTTAATCAGCTCACGAACCTCGCACCAAAGCCCCACGTGCGTCTTGGGCATCTTCCCGCGCCGTAGCTTGAGCACCCCCCGCATGGCGCGCGCCGAATCGGCCGTGTACCTGATCATCTGGCACCCGCTGGCGGCTGCGAGTAGCTCCTTCCGCGCCGTGAGCTCGCCCCCGTTGACGCTCTGCCTCCATCCAGCCAATGCGCACCTGACGCCTGCCACGAACATTGGCTCGTTCAGCTCCGTCGTCTGCGCGATGACCCAGCCCCGCGCGCCCCCCCTCAGCCTCGGGTCCGCCGCGTGCTCGCCTCCCGACGCGCCCCCCGCCGCGAGCAGCCACTCGCTGAAGCCCTGGCCGTCCTCGCTCGGGCGCGTGCTGACCTCGCCGAAACGCTCGAACAGGGCGCTCGCGGGCTCTGGCGGCGGACTGACCGCCGTCCACGACTTGGGCAAGCTGCATCTGAGCCACAAGCACGGCTGCGCATCCTCCTGGCTGGTGGCACGCTCGATGAGGTGCTCCGACTTCTTGCTCTCCTCGATGATCCCGTTGCGCTTGCACCTCCACATGCGGCGCAGCCATGTCTCGGGTTCTTCGCCGCACCGTGGACGCATCGCGTCTTCGACCTCGATGCCCGGGTCGGCGACCCGCTGCCTCGGCCACGCCCCTCCTACGAAGAGGGCGAGCTGCGCCCACACCTTGTCGCAATCACCCTTCGCCTTGAACTTGCGGGCCAGGGCCCTGGCCGAGCGCAAGTCCGCGCCGTCCTCCAGCCCCTTGCCCGCGTAGTGGCTGGCCGCTGCTGACCACTGCCTACTCTCGATCGCGTCGCTGAGGGCCTGCTTCAGGAGGCTGATGTCCACATCACCGCCCAAGCCCGCGGGGTCGCTGCCGCCGAACTCCTCGCCAGCGTCCGACACCCACTGCCACGGGCCCTTCGGGCCCCAGCCAAGGTCCAGCAGCGCGTTGACCATCGCCCCCGCGACGCCCGTGATCCCCTTCCAGCGCTTCTCGGGGTCCGTCTCGGTGACCTTCTTCACCGCCCTCGGCCATATGAGCCCCGCCTTCTTGCGCCCCCTGCCGACGCTGATGGCGCGTATCCAGGAGTCCATCAGCGCGAAGGCGGCACCGAAAGCGGGCCCCCCCTTCGCGATCCCCACCTGCAGGGGCGCGGCGGGGCACCGCTCTCGCAGCTTCGGGGCGATAACCCCTGCCAGCCCCCTCCCCCATTTCGCGACGTTGCTCGGCGCCACCCCGAAGACCTCGCAGGGGCATGCCGCCCGAGGAAGCGACCCGCGCTGGACCGCCGCTCGGCCCCCCCCCCCCCCTCGATCGACGGCCGCTGCGTGCCGTCCTCAAGCACCGAGCGGCCTGCCGATCTGCCTGGGCGGTCCTCTTATCGTGCTTGCCCTTGTCTCCTGCGATGCTGCGCCCCCTATCAATCCCCAGGTCGGGCGCCTGACTCTCGACCCTCACGGTGATGTTGCGCGAGTGCAGCTTCAGCGCAACCTCCCTTGCCACGTCCATGTCGCCCCCGATGAGTGCGGACTTCGTGGACTGGTCAGCCGCGCCTGCTTGCCACCAGCTGCGAAGTCCACTCCCGCGTTGGCCAGCTGCCTGGCCGCCTCCCTCCTGGAGCCTTCCATCCTGGTTGTGACGTCGTCCACCCGCGACCGCGCGTAGACCTGCTCGTACTTCGCGCTCACCTTCTCGAGCACCGCGCACAGCGCCACCCTGCCGAAGTCGACGCCGCGCCGGGCCCCCGCGCAGGTGGACCTGCCGGGCGCGATGGGCTCCGCGTACGCCGACCTCGCCCTGATGAGGCGCGTGCCCAGGTGGCTCAGCATCTCCAGGTGCAAAGTGCGAGCTGGGATGCCAAGACGAAGCCCATCCTCCAGGATAACGACGGGCTCCAAGGTGTCGCAGAGCTCCGCTAGGTCCCACAGGGCGGTGACAGCGTGGACCTGAGTGGCTGCCCACTCCAGCACCTCGTCGGCAAAAGAGCGAACAAGAGCCTCCCTCAGAGCGCTGGCGCCCGCCACCGCTGCGCCCCATTTCCCCGCCATGTGCGCGACCCACTCGTTGGTGCACTCGCTGCGCATCTTTGACCACAGCTTGACAACTTCGGGCAGCCATCCGATCGCACGATCGCCACCCGCGTCCGTCCTGAGCAGGCTGACCAGTGTGACCATAAGCTGCCATGGCCACGTGCCTACCCTTGCGAGCTCCTCGATCAACTTGCGCAGTTCCTCCCCGGCGCTCGGCGGCAGCCACTTGAAAGCCAGCGCGCCCATCATGTTCGAGGCCGTGACTCCTTCATCCCTGACCTCGTTGTCGCACCTCGGCTTGCCCCGCGTCTTGCGGCGGAGCTCGCCGCTGCCGGCCGCCTCCTGCTCCTGGGCCCAGTTGGCGCGCGCAGGCAGCACGTCGCCCACCTCCTCGCGCTTGCCCTTCTTCGCCGTAGCCAGCGCAGCGACGCCCAAGTGCTTGCTGCAGCTGGTCCATGCGCAGGTCGCCGGCGTTGTGGAGGGCCCCCCATCCATCTGCGCTTCTGCTTAGCCGTCATCTTGATGATGCCGCCAGTCGGGGTCGCGCCGCCCAGAGCCCTGCACTCGCCCAGCAGTCCGGTGGAACGCGCCTTGCCCCTCTCACAATGCTGCAGCTCCAGCAGGTGAGACGCCAGGGTACCCCACCACCTGATTGACTGGTCGCTGTCCGCTGGCACGTCAGCGCTGAGCTCGGCCGCGAAGCTAGCGATGCGGACCCCCTCGCCTCTGCCGCAGTAATTCCTCCTCTTGTCGGGGCGCACCTGCAGCGTCGTGACGTAGTGCTGTTCGCACGCGTGTATCCAGGCTCCGTACTGTGCACCCAGCTCCTTCGCGCCCCCCTCGTCGAACTGGCATGCTGCAGACTGCTTGACGTAGTCAGGAAGACGCCTCCAAGCAGGTGGCCCCCCGAAACAGCCTGACTCATCTTGATCTGCCACAGGCTTTAATGTTCGGCAACCTCTAGGTCGAGCGCCTCCTCCGCCGAGCGAGGCTTAGCCATCACCTCCTCGCCCTCGGAGTTCTCGCTGATCTCGTCGTCCTCTATGCTCGGCTCGCGCTCGCCGAACAAGTCCCCCACCTCGTCTCTGGCCCTACGCTCCTTGGGCAGTCCTGCGCAACGAACTGGCTTGCCTCTTTCGGCCGCGCTTCCCCTTCTGGAGTCGGGGCCACACCGCCCGCTGCGCTCTGCTCCCCGCGCTCGAGATCGCCCGCCTGCTTCTTAGCCTCCTGCCTGCTGCGCTCGCTGTTGGGGCCCGCCTTCCATTTGGGTAGACCGGGCAGCGACGCGGGCTGAGCGAGCTTGAGGCCCCTCTGGACTGCCATGAGCGGGTCTCCTCGCAGGTGTAGCCGCACTCCGTAGTGGTCGCCTGGGTCCATCTGGTCATACAAAACGTCTCTGAGCACACCACGTAGTCCAGCATCCTGGAGGGGCTTCGCGTTCATGTGTAGTCCACGTCCTCATGCGTCCTGATGGTCGCGTTGAGCACGCCGAGCCAGCCAGCTTGCCGCAATTGACTGGGCTTTGTGTTCCAGTCGCTAATCGCTGCCCAGGGCCCGTCATGACCCCTTGTGATAGCTGCCAACCTAACAAGCTTACTCTGGTTCACTTCGCTGCGCACGCCAACCGATGACGTCAGGCACATGCCCACCACTTGGATAGACTGCCCCTCCGCAGCCAGTTGACTGCAACCATGTCCTGGAAGTCGATCGGCCCAGGACTCCACTCCTTTTCGTCAAGCATCCGCAGCCCAACCATCTGCTCCTTCTTGACAGCTAGGTACCGCAATGATGTCACTGAAATATGGGCACGGGCCGCCAAGCCAATGCCTCCCGCCAGCTCGCGGCGCTGGTGGGCTCGCGAAGGCGGCGCCGCTGCCTTCAAGCCCTTGATATCCAGGTACTCCAAGATGTCGTCGTGCCGCTCGCCCCGACGTGCGTCTCGGGGAAGATCACGATGTCGTCCTTGAGCGTGTCGATCTCCCTCTTGGGCCTCGGCCCCCATGCCGGCAAATTCTGTATGAAAATGGAATGGTCGCCAGGAGCCCGTCGCGCCGCGGCTCTTGCCCGTGCCCATGGCCCTGCGCGCTTCGATGGCTGCCGCCAGGTCCTTCTTCTCCTTGGCGGTCCTAGCATCCAGGTCCTCCGCTCCAGGCCGCGCTGGCTGTCCACCAGGTAGGCCGCCGACGTTGCTCGACTGGCCGCCGCTGGCGGGAGTGCCTGCAGGCTGGGATGGGGCTTCGTCCGCAGGCGATGCGTGTGGTTCGTCCCCAGGTGCTGCTCCGTCGACCTTCCTCTTGTTCTTGATCCTGTCCATGCACTCGACCTCCGCTTGCTTGGATGCTTTGCGTGATTCAACCGCTGCAACGAAGGCGGCCTTGGCCGCCACCTTGGCCTGAGTGACGAACTCATTCTTGCGCCGCTCGGTCTCGTCGCTGGCCACTGCGAAGATGTCACCCAGGTCGACGTCGATCTCCGGATCCTCCATGAAGGCTGCGATCGGTAGCTGTGGCCGCCGAGGTTGTGATGCTCCTCCCACGGCGCCGCCGCCGAGAGGATATCGCTGGAGCTCTTCATTGGCCTTCGCCTCTGCTGCGACCACATCCGCCGTCCGCTGTTGGAAATCGAGCTCCGCCTGCTGTAGTTCCTCACGGAGCCTCTCTCGCCTGCGGTCGGCCTCCTGGTGGGCTGCCTGGCACTTCTGCACTTGGTCTTCGGCTTGCCGTAGCGCAGCTCGGGAACCAGGTAGCGGCTGCTGCTGTGCTGCAGGTGGTGGTGCAGCTTCCGCGATGTTCAATCTTGCTCTTGACCGTATCGTCGGCCATGGCAGGTGCCCTCTGAAGCAGCTGGAGTGTGTCGTTTCCTCCCGCATGGCCTCCGTCGGTATCTGGTTTCTTGCGACGTTTCCCAGCCGAGAGGATTGGCCAACCTCCGTCGTCACGAACTCCTCCTCCTCCTTGCAAGAAGTTGATGCTCGCTCCCGCTGGTGGTTCCGCCCCCCAGTGGCTGGCGCCACACTTGCACTTGAAGGATGCCTCCGCCAACCGATCCACGGAGAGCCACTTGCTGAACACCTGGCAATGCGCCTTCTGACTACCTCCGCCGCCTCCCTGAACTCCACGACGCCAGGGCCAAGCCTGGATCCACGGCTGCCGTTTCCAGCCGCCGCCAGGATCGCCGCCACCGCCGCGAGCAGGAGGAGGCGCCATTGGAGTGGCGCTCGCGCGCCGAAAGCACTGAAGACTGGCTGCGGACTAGCAGCTTCCCTTTTTGGCACGGAAGCGCGGAGCCCCCGAAGCACAATCATCTTGAGCCAAAATGGCTTGAGCCAAAATGGCTACGGACGACGACGGCGACGTCGACGACCACGACGACGACGAGGACGTCGACCAGCAGGCGAGAGGCCAGGGGGGGGGCACCTGGCGCTCGCCCCCCGGCTCGGGCAGGCCATCGCGCCCGTCCTGGTCGGCAGCGCTGCGGCTAGCCGGGGTCGAGAAGACAACGACCACGACCACGGCGGCGACGACGAAGACGACGACGACGATGATGACGACGACCACGACCACGACAAAGACCACGACCACAGCCACGGCCACGCCCAAGACCACGTCAACGACCACGACGACGGCGGCGACGACGACGACGGCGAAGACAACGACGACCACCACGACCGTGACGAGGATATCGAAGACGACGTCCACGACCACGACCACGACCACGACCACAGCGGCAAAAACAACGACGACAACAAACTCGACGACGACGGCGACGACGAGGAGGATGACGACCACAACCATGACGATGACCACGACCACGACCAAGACAACGACCACGGCCATGACCATGACCAAGACCACGACCACGGCGGCGACAACAAAGCCGACGACGACGACGACCACGACGACGACGAGGATGACGAAGACGACGACCACGACCACGACCACGACCACGACAACGACCACGATCACGACTACGGCGGCGACAATGACGACGACGAAGCTGACGACGACAACGGCGACGAGGATGACGACGACCACGACGACGACGACGAGGATGACAAAGACCACGACCACGACCACGACGAAGACCACGACCACGACTACGGCGGCGACCACGACGCCGAGGAAGCTGACGACGACAACGGCGACGAGGATGACGACGACGACGAGGATGACGAAGACCACGACCACGACCAAGACCACGACCCCGGCCACGACCACGACAACAACCACGAACAGGGCGGCGACCACGACGATGACGACGACGACGACGAACACCACGACCAGGACGAGAAACACGACGACGACGACCACGACCAAGACCACGACCACGGCCACGACCACGACCACAACCATGACCACGACCACAGTGGCGACCACGACGACAACGACGACGAAAACGGCGACGAAAACGGCGACGACGACGACGAAGACGACGACAAGGATGACGAAGAACACGACCACGACCAAGACCACAACCATGACCACGACCACGACCACGACGACGACGGCAACGACGACGACGTCGAAGACGACGACGAGGTGACGAAGACGACGACCACGACCACGACCACGACCACGGCCACGGCCAGGATCACGGCGGCGACAACGACCACGACCAGGACCACGACCACGACCACGGCGGCGACCACGACGACGACGACTACGAGGATGACAAAGACGACGACCACGACCAGGACCAAAACCACGGCCACGACCACGACCACGACCACGGCCACGGCCACGACCACGGCGGCGACCACGCCGACATCGACGACGACGACGACGAGGATGACAAAGGCGACAGCCACGACCAGGACCACGACCACGGCCACGACCAGCACGAGGACAACGACGATGAAGACGGCGACGACGACGACGGGGACGAGGACGACAAGGAGCACGACGAATACTTTTTTTCCCCCCAGGGGGCAGGACCAAGATTACCTGTGTATCTGGCCGAGGCAGCTCCAGCGGCCGCCTCTTCTCTCTCCCGAACACGTTCCAGGAGGGCCTTCATGCGAGGGGCCTGTGGGAGGCTGTCTAGCCTCGCACTCAAAATACCTACCTCTTAAGGAGGGGGCACGTTAACTGCATACTGCATGTGCCCCACTCCTCGCCTCGACGACTGGGTCACTCGTGCGGAAGTTTCGCGCGAGTGAGGGTGGAGGGCAGAATAAATTCGCTTCAAAGCAGTGGTCGCGCCAGCAATCTTGCGCTGCTGGCATTCACGACCTAACAAAAAACATCGCCTTGTGGCGTACGCGCCACATGTCGTGCAAAAGTACAGGACGGCTTCACTAGATCTGTCATTCTTGTCAGATCTGGTGACAACAGTGCGGGCTACAGTGTGGCCCCTGTCGAAAATGAACACGTCCTTCCACGTTTTGCTCGGCCCTGGGCAGCCAAACAAAGGTCTACTCTCAGCACCTTCGCTCAGCAAGAAACATCTTATGCACCTGGCTCCACCGTCGTCCTGCTTTTCCCAGCAGTGACACCCCCCAGACTTGAGGAACCTTGCCCGCGGTCCTGGGGGGGGGGGGGGGGCGCTCGAATTTTTCCATCGGAAACACACAGGGAACTTTGGCCAACACTCGGGCCGCATAAGCTAATTTACCCAAGGAAATAATCAGCACATCCGAAAACTGGCGAGAAGGCGAAGGGTGGAGGGAGAGGGAATGCTTGGCGAGGGCGTCTGCGTTCCAATTCCCAACAGCGGTTCTTCTCTCACCATCGGGGAGGGAGTCGATGACACTTCTCGCACGACGGGCAGGCGTGCGACGAACTTCGGGCACATGATCCCGTTCCTCGTGCAACAAGGCTCCTCTCCTCATTCCTGCATGACGATGTCGCCTATCCACTTGATGTGAAGGGTCGGTCGTGCATACCTTCACTACCGTCATACAGTCGCTGTATCTTACGCCCGAGTAGGGAACGCAGAACGGGATCAGCGACATTGCCTGGCGCTCCGCCGCCTGCGGTGTCTGGGGCAAGACGCCCCAGACGGTTCCTATGGCATAGGCGACGATGCCCTCTTCAGGGCCTAAAAAGATCCAGGCGTAGGCGGCCCTTGAAAGTTCTCGGATTGTGCGCCGTGCACACGATCCGCCCATACAAACATCACAACCCCTTAAGTCGGTACTCCCCCAGAGCACTTCCTCCTTCTGTGGGTTGAAGAGACGGGGGTTGGGGTCGGCGTGGGGTGGGGGGTGGGGTGGTTGGGTGGGTGGGTGGGGGTGTGTGGATGGGGGGGGGGGGGGGGGGGGGGGGGCGGTGGTGGTGGTGGTGGTGGTGTGGGGTGGTGGTGGTGGGGGGGGGGTGGGGGGGGGGGGGGGGGTAGCTGGTTTCGGGGTGTTCCATATTAATCTCATCCCAAAAGCTCCCGCATTCACTTTCGGCTGCCACTTGGAGCCATCCTGCATTACCACCCGCAACTTCAAGGCGCAC